CGCTTGTGCACTTGAAGCGTACAGCTTGGCGCCCGGATGCGTCAGCTGAGGCACAGATCATCGAGGCCTCGTTAGCTTGCATGGTTGCTTGGCTCGTCTCATGCACGTGCAGCAGTCAACATTCCAGGCTTCAGAGAGTCGTGTGCCGGATGACCTGAACCTTGGCTATTTAGAGTACTCTTGCACCAGAATGGAGGCTGAGCTTAACTTGTTTCTGAAAGGGACTGGGATCCCCTGACGATGACCTATGGCAGGGCCCACAGCCGACTGTTGAAGTCTTTGGTTCGCACATCGCGTGTTGACGGACGCCGTTCATCCGCAGGCGACGGCCACGGCTTGCCCAGTGACGCGATCGAGCTGCCGACAGAGCTGATGATGCCCTTCAACGGCATTCAGCAATGCTCAAAGAGAGCTCGTACAAAAGAAACATGAAGTCAGCAGTAGGATTCAGTAGCAGGCAGGAGCCCTGCATCTTCAAAAGCTTATGAGCTCAGGAACCTGGTGGGCCCTGGACTCGCTGCAGTACGCGGAGCTCGGCCGCCACCTCCGGCAGCCCAGAGCCCGGAGAAGTTGCAGTTTCAAGGCCAAAAAAAGATGCAAGTGCGGCACAGTGTGCGGCGCTGGCAAGGCCCCGCTGGCTCCTTCACAAGAGCGTGCGAGGCATGCTTCGAACTGGAAGTGCTGCATGGCGTGCCTTATGTAAGCATCTTGCAACAAGCTTCGGGCAGTCAGTGGCCTGTGCTGCATCAGGAAGCTACTGCAGCAAAGAAAGGCCTGCTGGGGAGTTGGGCGCTGGCGTGCGCAGCATGAGTACACGATCGGAGCTTCAGGAGGCAGCTGCCCGGGCTGCGGAGAAGGCTGCCGGAGCCTTGGCTGGCTTTGCAGCGTGGGCATATGAGCGAAGAAAAGATGCACAGGCGACGCAGAAGCAGGCTGCTCGCTGTCATGTTGCCTATCCCGTGATGGGTCTAGGGGAAGCCTGAAACAGCATGAAGCAGCTGCAGAATTTGGAGGAAGAGAAGCCGCTCGATGAGTCGTGGATCGATCAAATGGAGCAGTGCTCCGGCCAACATGCTGGCAGCGTGGCTGAGACTATTGAAGCCTGCATGCGTCACCTCAGGAAGAGCGCCAAAAAGAAGGCCTGGACCCTGACTTTCCGGCAAGCAAGCCTTCCGGCCATGGTGTGGCCCTTTGCTTTGGCCGTGAGGCGAACAAAGAGAAGGCGGCACAGATACGCAAAGAACGCAAGAAGGCCTCGTATTGATGTTTGCTGACAGAGGCTTACTTTCGGTGCTTGGCAGATCTTGACTCTGAAAATCCCAAAGCGCAGGCCAAGAAGGCCGACGCAGTAGCGAAGCAGGCCACAGATGCTCCGTCTGACAACAGGGCTTCAGGGAAACGCAGACCTGTCACGAAGCACTTGAGGTGGCAGACGAGGAGGAGGAAGAAGAAGTGAAGGAAGAAGCTGACGTCGAGGCAGCGAAGTCAGGGATTCGATTTACACGGTGGTGGGCCAGAGCTAGCCGAATCTAGGCTTCCTTGTTTCATAGACTGCTATCACTTCCGGGACTTGACACAAAACGCAAACGATGAAAGCTCTTGCGCATGTGAGTTGTGGAAGTTACATGTTTTGCGTTTGCAAATTGCTCACTCGAGGGCTTTGTGTAAGCTGCTGGGTGTTGTCACGGTATGTCACGTTGTTACTTGTCGCTGACGCCCGGGCCGGCAGAAAAAGGGATGGAGAGATATCTCATGATATCTCTGAGTGGAGGGATGATGGGCACTGCCTAGCCGGGCCTAGCCACGCCTTTACCCTTGTCCTAGACTCACCCTTTATCCAAGCATTGGCTTGCTGGAGATCACTCGAAGGTTTGAATTTGGGGGCACCTGGTTGACTCTCTGGCAGTGTAGCTTCACGCAGGAACTTTTGCATTTCCTCAGGTGGAAGAGGTGGAAGAAGTGGAAGAGGTCGAGATGTCCGAGCAGGCCAAAACTACATTCAGCACATTTGCGCATCTTCTTACCAGTGTGATCCAGTGTGTTTTGCTGTGCCTTCCACAGCAAGGAGGAGGAGATGCTGATGCAGCTTGTGGAGACCTCCAAGCAACGCCGCAAAAGACAGGCGAAACAGGCCCATCATGCAACTGCTGCTCAATTGAAGGGCATCTCCTCCCTTTAAGAGCGTCATCAAGTGGCTGCGTGTTGCCAGTTGTGCCTAATATTAAGGCTAACGCGCGCCGCGTCGGCCGGCTTGCCTGTATAGCAGCATTGAACAAGACAGCCTCAAATCAACTTGTCCCTTACTACTGCCGTCATATTCTTAGATCACCTAGATATATGTATATATATAGTATCCCTACATAATCTTAGCATATCATCTCCTCATAAGACCCCTTACAGAGCCCTGTATGACCTTCCAAAAATACGACATCCCTATAGAGCCTGTGCAATACCTGAATGGCTTTATTTGAGGGGCTGCGCCCAAGAGCAGGCAACGAAGGCAAGGCCAACCCCCCTCCCCCCCCCGCACCCCTTCATGGAGAAACGCGCCCCCAATGCATCATCAGCATCATTGGGGGTTTGTTTCGCCCATCTGGGGCTTCCAGCACGCCCTCCGACCTGCAAAAATTGATGCTCGGGCCCAAACGGGCCTCGATTGGTTTTGGCGCAGGGTCCGAAAAGGGTCTTTGAGGAAACGGAGGTCCAATGACGCAGGGTCGGCGGCATTAACTTCCGCTCCTTGGCAAAGCCAGGGCCATGGCCTGTGGCAGCAACCCCAGAGCGTTGCCCGATTCGAGCTTGATGGATCTTATTGCAATTCTACTTATATCTAATCGGTTTCTTATTCGATTTAATTCATCTTTAATTTTTTAATAAGATTTCAATAGGATCCTATCATATCCCCCCCCTCCCTGATATTCCGGTCCCACGAGAAATACACCCCTCACCCCTCTGAGATAAAATACGTACGGGTTGGAGTAGAGTATACACATTAGGGAGGGAATGACGTTTAATATTGGGGGGAAAGAATTATAGTTGATATTGTAAGGGAGCGGAGCCTTGAAGCGTACAAGTTTTTTTCTCAAGTGCACACATACAAGAAAGATTTCATTGAAGCTAAAAACCCGAACCCTGCTGTAACCCACAATCCTGGGCAGGGTTCGTTCAGTTTTAGGAATGTGAATGAATGCGAATTGTTTACTTTGTCGCTTGAGATTTACTGGCAAGATGGCTATGGATGGTTTCTATCCACGAAACTGCACAGACCCCTGAGCGAATGCACGCCTGCTTTCTACGCTCCCTGGCCTTACATGAGCGCCACAGGCATAGAGTCTCTAGTCCGAGCAGCACGAAGCTCAAATCTCTGAGCTTTGAAGCCAGCTTCATGACAACTGTTCATACTTGATACGCTATGCAGCCACGGGATACTTGCACAAAATGACGTTCGAGATACATGGAACGCCGACATGCAACTTTGCAGTATTGCTGGCTCTTTAGTCCTCCATGCGCCTTCGTAGGTCGGAAAAACGTGGATGACCCCCCCCCCCAAGCGCAGAATCTGCAATCTTTAAGAGGATCTTGAGCCTGGTGTTTATCCATGACGGCCCCGATTGGAATGGAACCTTGAACCCCTAAACACATGTATAGCAAGATTGACAGACACGGTGATTACCGACTTGCTGGAACCGCGCCGCTTCCGGTGAAGGTGTCTTCTCGCGAGCAGTGTGGGGCAAATGGTTGTCCTGCAAAACCCGAAAGAATTCTGTCGGATGTAGGATATGTTGCAGAAAGTTAGCAATTTGAGTGTTTCTTTTGTTTGCGCCTCATGATTGGGCAGAGTCCGTGCTTTAAGTTCTTGCAGAAGCTCAAATTGCGACGAAGGCAGTATGA